TTAGCCTAGCGAAGATCTCAGCCAGACCTTGGCTGGGTGGGCCAGGGTGACCAGCCACGAAGGAAGAGGACCCAGCTTGTATCTCAGAGCCAGCCCAGGCTACAGAAACACCTCTCAGGCCTCCAGCTCACACTCGCTCCATTTGCCAGACAGTCAACACAAAGCCCTGCAATGCCAGTTCAGGGCAGAACTGCCCCTTTGTGCTACAGCTGTGTGCTGTGGGCATCTACTGTCCCCAGAAGGTGTTTTCTGAGTCATGGAATCATAGAATATCAGGGTTGGAAGGGACCTCAGGAGGTCATCTAGTCCAAACCCCTGCTCAAAGCAGGACCAATCCCCCAACTAAATCATCCCGGCCAGGGCTTTGTCAAGCCGGGCCTTAAAAACCTCTAAGGATGGAGATTTCACCACCTCCCTAGGGAACCCATTCCAGTGCTTCACAACCCTCCTAGTGAAATAGTGTTTCCTAATATCCAACCTAGACTTCCCCCACTGCAATTTGAGACCATTGCTCCTTGTTCTGTTATCTGCCACCACTGTGAACAGCCAAGCTCCATCCTCTTTGGAACCCCCTTCAGGTAGTTGAAAGCAGCTTTAACTCCCCGCCCCCCATTTTTCTCTTCTGCACACTAAACAATCCCAGTCCCCTCAGACGCTCCTCGTACGTCATGTACTCCAGCCCCCTAATCATTTTTGTTGCCCTTCACTGGACTCTTTCCAATTTTTCCACATCCTTCTTGTAGTGTGGGGCCCAAAACTGGACACAGTACTCCAGATGAGGCCTCACTAATGACGAATAGAGGGGAATGATCATGTCCCTCGATCTGCTGGCAATGCTCCTACTTATACAGCCCAAAATGCCGCTAGCCTTCTTGGCAACAAGGGCACACTGTTGACTCATATCCAGCTTCTCGTCCACTGTAACCCCTAAGTCCTTTTCTGCAGAACTGCTGCTTAGCCAGTCACCAGCATGGCCTGTGGAGCAGCAAGACCCCCCACCCCTTCTACCTCCCCCTCTTCTCGGATTAGCTCACTGAACATTCTCCCTTTACAGGTCACTTTTGGAGCACGGTTCCGCTCTGAGAAACCAACATCATTGGAGTCCGTGACTCCAGATCACACGTGCACCGTGTTCCTCTAACGGCCGTGCAAACCTCACCCCGGGATCCCAGAGCCACCCTGGCTTCCTTCCGGCGCCCACGCTCACAAGGCAGTTGCTCCTGCTGGAATGCAGGCGGCGGCTCCCCCAGGGATACCCGAGCCAGACTGGAATCCGGCTCCCTAGCGGGGGGAAACGCTGATCTCTGAACGTTAACAAGCAGACAGGACTGACAACAGCACCGCCTGGGTCCTGTGTGTATTCACCTGTAGAGATCCGGACTCACCCCTGCGGTGCCCCCTACTGGTTGCTTCGGGGAATCAGCTCTTCCAGCATCCTGGAGCACCCCCTGCAGGCCAGTGATCCGCCTGTCCTCTGGCCCCCGTGTCCCTCCTGGACCCGGGTGCCCTTGTATCTGGGGCGCTGCCCCCTGGCAGTACACCCCTCAATACTAGGGTCTCCCCTCCCTAGGGAACCCCCACCCACTATCCCTACCTCACCTCAGAATAAGGCCACTGCCAGTCATCAACTAGCTCCCGCTCCCCTGGGCAGACTGCAGTATAGGCCACTCATCACTGGCAAGGGGGGTTTGGACCTGCTGCCTTGGACTAGCCCTGGGCTGCCCTCTGCAACCCCCAGTATCCCTTGGCCTCCTACTAGGCCGCAGCCTGGGGCTTTCCCGGCTGGAGCTCCCCAGCTTCTCAGCCTTTCCCCAGCTCTGCTCCACCACAGGTACCTTGTGTCTAGCTCCCTGCAGCCAGGCCCTTCTCTCCCTGAACGCAGAGAGAGACTCTTGGGCTCCTGGCTCCCAGCCTCTTTATAGGGCCTGCTGAGGCCATTTGGGGCGTGGCCCCAGCTGCAGCCACTTCCCCTAATCAGCTCAGCCTTCACGCTGCCTGCTCCCTAGGCTCTCTCAGGCCCTTCCAGGCAGGAGCAGGTGTCCACCCTGCTACATCACCCTCCAGCATAGCCCACTGCTTTAGATCTACCCTCCGAGGGCACACGTTAGGGGTGACTTACCAGGGCAGGGCAGGGCAGCCGAAGGGACTGTATGCGATGAGGACAATCCCCTTAGATTTGCAGTACTCCACCAGCTCGGGCTGGGTCAGGTAGGGGTGCAGCTCCACCTGGTGGAGAAACAGTTATTGTTTCTCATGCCCACACCCCATTGCCTCAAGGTGCTCATGAGAGGGCTCTGAAGTGCCGGGAAGTCCTTCCCTAGGAGGGATGGGTGCAGCTTTCATCGGAAAGCCCAAAGCTGGGGCCTGGTTTGCTGAATATTAGGAGCCCCCATAGCCCTAGGGTCAGATGAGCCTCCCTCCTGCCCTGGGGAAGTCTTCTCTTCTCTGCCCAATCCCACATGCCTCTCCCAGCATGCTGGACCGAACATCAGATGCGGCTTCCTTCCTCCACACCCTGGCCTAAGAGAGGGGGAGCAAGGCTCAGGCTACAGCTTTCTGCCAGATCATAGAATGATAGAAGATTAGGGTTGGAAGGGACCTCAGGAGGTATCTAGTCCAACCCCCTGCTCAAAGCAGCACCAATCCCCAACTAAATTATCCCAGGCAGGGCTTTGTCAAGCCTGACCTTAAAAACCTCCAAGGAAGGAGATTCCACCACCTCCCTAGGTAACCTATTCCAGTGCTTCACCACTTTCCTAGTGGACCAGGACTTAGTGGATCAGAACCGATCAATCCCCCTTCACAGCATTCCCCAGGGCCTCCTTCTGCAGCGTTAGCTATTGGCAGTGACAGCGACCGGCCACAGGAAGGCAGAACCTAATTGATTAGGCCAGTGGTTCTCAGCCTTCTCCACACCACGCCACGCCCCCCATGTTAAGATGCAGCTTGGCCTAGTTAGGGGCGATTCGGAGCCAAGATTTGGGCTTTAACTTCCCCCTCTCCATGATTGTTTCCCCTTCGCCCGTCTGGTCTATTTGGACCACTGGCTTTTCAGTGCAGGGACTGTCTCGCACTGAGCACAGTGGGGTCCCAAGCTTGGCTGGGCTCTGTGCTTCTGGGATACAAAGAAGCCCTTTTGGGGCCAAGCCCTCAAAGAGTGAGCACAACCTCTCTGGCTCTGCCCAAGCTGCGAACCCAGGCATTCGAATGCTGCATTAAGCACCCAAAGTCTGCTTAGCACAGTACAGAGGACGCCACAGCGGCAGCTTCCCAATTACTATTTGCAACTATAAGCAGCCCCATGCAAAGCTAGCATAAGCACTCCCCGGAGCGGAGACACCATTGCTCCAGGCAGAGCAGGTGAGAGAGACAAGCTTTCGAGCCGCACAGAGCTGAAGGAGACTCACCCGCCTTGTCTCTCTCATAGCCGGGGACCAGCCTAGACCACCACGGCAAAGACACCTTTACAGGTGTAACTCAGACGCTGCCCAATCACAAGCCTTTACCTGGTTGGCGGCAGGTTTGATCCTGCACACGGACAGCAGCCTCTCCAGCTGGGAGACGTTGAAGTTGGAAACCCCCATCGATTTCACCAGGCCTTCGTCCACCAGCTTCTCCATCGCCTGCCAGGAAAACAAAGAGGGGCTGGATGATTTAGTTGGGGATTGGTCCTGCTTTGAGCAGGGGGTTGGACTAGATGACCTCCTGAGGTCCCTTCCAACCCTGATCTTCTATGATTCTATGCAGCAGGTCATGGGCTGGGCCCGCACAGCTGGGGAAACCCAGAGGGCTGCTGGAATAAGGGGCGAGTGACAATGCACTGGCTGGCTTTGCCAGGGTGCTGGAACGCTTGCAGCTGCCACTGGCTCCACCCAGAGCTGTGGGTGCTCAGCACCTGTGTCAAAGCCCACCACCTCCTTAGGGACGTCGGCCTGTATACCTTTGAGGAGGTGGGCCCATGTGCATGGACCAGGCCCAGCGATTGGTGCTCTCATGTGCCACAGAAGTTCCTACCCCTGTGCTTACGTTGGCAGAAGAGGGTCCCGATCGTCCTTACCACCATTCTGTCCGAGGCCGGCTTTAACTTTTTTAAAAAGTTAAAGCCGGCCTTGTTTAAAACAAACAAACAAAAAATGCCCTGCTGTAACAACGCCCCCGCCAGCGCCGCCCCGCCGAACCAAAAACAACAACCAAAACCCCCGAGCGCCGCCCCGCCACCACAAGATTGGCTGCCCCTTACAAGGTGTCGCCCCAAGCACGTGCTTGGTCGGCTGGTGCCTGGAGCCGGCCCTGATTCTGTCCTCCATGCCCACCCAGGGCAGGCGTGCAGCTCCTGGGATGACTGTGATCAATCGGATTCAAGTGACTGATCTCCATCTCTCCACATACTTAGGCTGGGCCTTCAGGCAGTGCCGAGAACGGAGCCCTTAAAACGCAGCCTCCGCCTCGGGCACCCACACAGGACAGCTTTGCCACTGAAGCTGCAGTGATGTGCCCAAATTCGGCCTTCTGCACACGCCCAGAACGACAGAGGTGAAAGGGAGCTGACTGGAATCGTAGCTCTAGTTCCCCTTCAGAACAGGTTTAAAAATATTTCTGTCGGCACGCGAGCACTGCCTGTCTCCTCCCGTGACGAATTAGCTCCTTCTCGGAGCCTTTGTACATTTTAAATGAGGCCATTCCATTATCTCCAGCCAGACAAAAACCCTGCCCTGGCTCCTGGCTCTTAACCTCGCTGGTAATTAACAATTGCTATGGCGGCGGGTGCGTTCAGCCGGTCTCTCTGTCTCTCGCAGCCAGACAGCAGAGGCTGCTGATGGGAAATATATGCGAGGAACGCGAGCCAGCCATGGAGATCGTTACGACTGGAGGGAGATGGGCAGCCTACGCTGCTCTTTCCTCGCCACTCACTGTGCGTTATGGGAGAGCCCGTCGAAGCCAATGAGAGTCTTTCCACTGGCTGCAAAGGGCTTTGGATCAGGTCCTGTGTGCTTATGGTATCCATCAATAGTGCACGTCACCAAGGCATGCAGGAGGTGGGAATCAGGGCTTTCCCTGGTAAGGGACCCCTTCAAGGAACCCTAGAGAGACCCCCTCCATCCTAAATACCTCCATGTAGCTCAGGTGCCATATCCCATTGCTACTGCGCCTTTAGCTCACGCAGTAGTAGCTTGGGCTGAGGTGCAGAAGGTCCCAGGTTCTGTTCCTGCTCGTGACCCCCAATGAACATCATTGCACTTGGCCTGATGTGCTGCCTCTTACCCTCCAGGTGTCCACGTAGTCCACATCCGACTGCAGAAGCAAGCCGTCTTTCTGAGGCATGAGCTCCCCGTTGATATTCTGCAGGGGAACAGACCAAGAGCCACTTTCTAGGGGGAAGCATCCCATGTGCATCTCTGGAACTGCTGAGAGTCCTGACGTGAATGAGTGGCGAGGCATCAAACACCCCAGCTGGCCCGTCCATCCCCGGGGAACACCCACCACCTCTGTCAGAGTTACTGCAATAGGAGGAAGTGCTAAAGAAAGGCAGGGGTGCTGGATGATGCAGCGTCAGCGAGGTCTGCATGGGGCTTTTCTAGAGAGTGAATATCCCGGCCTGTTTGCTTGACCCCGCTCCCGCTATTCCAGTCACGGAGAGGCAGTCCAGGCTCCTGAGCTCAAAGGAGAACGAGGCTGGGTCACGACTTGGATAGGAGACTCCCCTGCTCTGGTGTTGCTGAGTCAGTGCAGATCCAATTCAGCAGTAAGCGTAATTACCCCAATGGAGTTTAACGCTGGTGTTCTCACAAGTCCCCCTCCTCTTACCAAAATCGCCAAGAGATCCTCATTGATCATGCCTGGTCAGGATGACTCTTCCATGTCCCATCCAGAAGACCCATCTCCAGTAACACCCTGCCCAACACCTGATTACCCTCGATTTCCCCTACAGTTCAACTGGATCCTCATTTTCTTCATTTCCCAGCCTAGATTATTTTGTTGTTAAATAGTTGCTGTGTGCCACCCCACGGGTGGCAGCGTTCCAGCTGCCAGGGAAGCTATCCTTTATCTATCTCCCATGGGCACCTTGGGCCTACATGAGCTAAGTTCTCTGTCGGCTTATGCCATCCATCCATCGAAGTCAGGCAATGTGGCCCCGTTAGTCCAATTTTCTAAAGCCCTTGTAGCTACTTGGATGGAAGGTGCAACAGAACCTTTATCTTATCACCATAATATCTGAGCACCTCACGCCCCTGTGAGGCAGGACAGTAATGTTAGTTCCATGTGACACAGAGAGAATTGAGGCCCAGGGTCTATCAAGAGATTTGCCCAAGGTCGTGTCGTAAGTCTGTGGTTAAACTGGGAGTTGAACCTAGTAATCCTGAGTCCCAGCTTCGTGTTTTAGCCACTCGAGCATGCTTCCTAGAAACGCAAAAGGAAACCAGACAACACACTCAGGGGCTGTCAACCTACCACGGAGGGACAACCCAGCCTTCCTTGTTTTGCCCCTTGACAATTACAAACGGAAACCCAGTTCTGTCCTGCACTGACTCGTCGCCATGTAAACTGCTGTGTGGCTAGGGGGAAGAAAGGGAAATAAATGCTATCAGCTCAGAGAGAATCCACCTTACCGGAAAGCCCATTGGAGAGTGCATGAGATAGAGATCCAGGTAATCCAGCTTCAGCATCGTCAGGCTTTTCAGGAAAGCCGGCTTCACATCCTGTGGGGCGTGGAAGCTGTTCCACAGCTGCCCAGAGAAGATAGTTGCATTATTAGTTGTATTGCAGGAGCACCTAACCAAAATGAGGGCCCCTTATGCTGGGCGCTATACGCACATGTAGAGAGAGGCAGTCCCTGCCCTGCAGAGCTCAGTCTAAATAGAAGAGACAGACCCAGGATGGGAGGAGAAACGTGGAGGGGACGTGAATTACTCCAGGTCACACAGCGGGTCAGTGGTGAAGCTAGGGATAGAGCTCAGGTTTCTAGACTCCCAATCCACCATCTGTTCTACTGGACCAGGCTGCCTCTGTGATATGGGGGCATAGTCAGACAAAGAGTAGGAGAACGGGAGTATAATGAGCTGTATCGATGGGGAACCGAGGCACAGAGAGAGGGAGGGTGTGACAGAGCCAGGAACCGAAGCCAGATTACCTGAATCCCAGTCCAGTGGCTTCACCCCAGCACCATCCTTCCTCTCCAAGAGCAAAACCGACATCCCTTTCCCCAGCATTTTACTCTATACAAATTATGTGTTCCCACCGGGCCTTAGAGCAACAAGTCAAATGTTGCTCTTCATTCCATGTCCCTGCTCCTATTGGTCTGCTCTTCTCAGCAAGAAACCAGGAGGAGGAGCCAGCACCATGTGACCAATCAGCTCTCAGGTACACCCAGTTTGGGAATCTCTTCTATTTAGCATTCCATTGCTGCTTATTGTTGTAGGAACCTACCATGGGCCTTTGTTACTTGCATCATAAACAGAGTCTGAGATAATATCATAAATATAGCTTAGTCTTGAGAAAAGACGACTGAGGGGGGACCTGATACCAGTCTTGAAATATGTGAAGGACGGTTATAAAAAATGTGATCAATTGTTCTCCATGTTCATTGGAGGTAGGACAAAAAGTAATGGGTTAAACCATCAGCAAAGGTGATTTAGGTTAGATATTAGGAAAATCTTTCTAACTCTAAGGGTAGTTAAGCCCTGGAACAGGTTTCCAAGGGAAGTTGTGGAATCCCCTTGCTGGAGGTTTTTAAGACCAGGTTGGACAAAACCTGTCAGGGATAGTCAAGGTTTACCTGGTCCTGCTTCAGTGCAAGGGACTGGACTTGATGACTTCTTAGGGTCCCTTCCAGCCTGACATTTCTGTGATTCTATAATAGCTATGGGTGTGCTCCACAAAAGTGAGATGTTTGTATATATGTAGATAGCACTAATTCTATTAACTATCGAATGGCATATAAGAACACGGAACACTACTGGGCAAAAAACGGAATTTGAATCCTGTTGAAAATTCCAATGAATTGAAATTTCTAGTAGGGTGGAAATTCTGAAAAGTTTCTATTTGGAAACATTGAAACTTTTCATTTTGCTAAGGTCAACATAATACAGTCTGGAACAACACAAAAATATGCAAGTGGAAGTTAAATGAAATGAGACAGTCGAAACAATGTGTTTTGACATTTTTCCATCGCAATTTCACCAAAATTGAGATGTTTCTGCAAAATGGTTTAGATTTCGACAAAATTGCATTTTCCAATGGAAACCGGTCCCATTGTCCATTTTTGATCATCTCTAGTAAGTTAGAAAGTTTAATAAAGTTGTTGTTCTGCACTGGGAGTGGCAGCTCTTTGACAATTGCGTTTCAATCCACAAGGCATACAGTACAGCCAACATCAAGCCTTCATGAGTCAGGTCCCCCAGAATCCATGAGATTGGCTTAAAAAGCCATAGGGTCTTATTTGCCTTCTGGCCTTTCGTGGGTCTCATTTTGCAGCTTCTGTGAATAACTGAGAGGGTTAGGAAACCATTTTTTATTTAGCGGAGGCTGAAATTTTCACCGTATCATGAGTCCAGGCGCAGAGGCCATGAGAAAAAAAAACAACCACCCAGTATCCCAAGTCTTGGGGTAACTTAGAAAGAATTGGCAATCCTGGGCTTCTGTTTGGAAGGAAAACGGGGCTCACCTTGCTCACCACATAAAGCTCGTCTCTCTTCAGCCTCCCTTCCCCCAGCTTCTTCTGAAGGGCTGCTCCGATCTCGGCCTCGTTCTGGTAAAAATAAGCACAGTCGACGTGCCGATATCCAGCATCTAAAGCTACCTCCACGGCTTCCTGAACGGCCCCCGGGGGAGACTGCAAAGAAAGCAATAGACGCATCACCGCTTGCTATCTAATCCTCCCCAGAGCCACACTTCTGGGGCTAACAAGCTACACTGATTTACACCAGCTCAATAGCTTGGGATCTGTCAAGCCAAACCCAGGGCCAGGCCTTGTCCACACTTGGGTAGGAGGTACCCCCAGGGAACGGCTAGGTGCTGCAAACTCCACACGTGGTGCTCGTCCTTCCAAGTCAGTGTTCAACCAAGGCCCCAGCATGGCACTAGGGGGCGCTGTGGTGCCCACGATGCCACCTTTGAGCTACGGTGCATAGTGGCACTCCTGCCCACATTCGGTTGTTAAAAGGGTCCCACGGCACCTGGGGCAAGAGAGCTTCAGCTGCAACTTTGCAGAGCCAAGCCTCATGGAATATTTTGTTGCCTTGGAGACTAAAAGGGCTTTGCATAGACGGGGATAACAAGGTCGTCCTTTGCTTCACTGGTCCCTGGGGGCTCATACGCCAAACTACCAACATCCATAGGCTCATAGGCACTTCAAACATTAGTTTTGACATGCTCTTGCCCTTCATGGGTTTGCAATAAGCATTCACGCACATCTAATAGGCTAAGAGTCTTTGCCTCTCTCTTTGCTACCAGCTCCAGCAAAGTCTTCGGGAATTACCATGTTCTCTCTCGAACAAAAAGTCTGATCCTACGTCCGTTGAATTCAATAGGTCTCTTTCCACAAACTTCCCGGACTGTTTACAAGGTTGAGTTAATGCTCAGGCAGATTCATCTGCTCTGACACCCAGCTGCACCCTGGCTGTGTGGGGAACAGAGCTGCTGAGAGCCCTCTCTGTACCAAGCCTGCTTTAATTAAAGCGTTTACCCAAGAGTGGAGGCCGGCATGCCCCTGCCTGCAAAGAACATAGAGACAAAGAGCAAACGCAGCGTCCGACCCAACCCGATTAACCGGCACTTATGCACGGTTGTTCCTGCCTTGGAACAAAGAGAAAGCAGGTGGGGAGAAGTGTAGACCGATCAGGAGTTATGACAAGAGGCAGGATCCCTGGGGTGGATTGAACACAGCTGCACCACCCCTTGTAGCGCCAGGGCTCTCTTGTTCTTGAAAGTGATCAGTGTTTAATCTGCTCTTGCTATCGGATAATCAGTACATTAGAGAGCCCACAGTCGGGTGGGTTCCCTGCCTCCCTCTCCCATCTTGCCAAAACATTGCTAAAGTTCTCAGTCAAGCCACCCCTCCTCTCCCAGCTCCCACCCGCTCGCCGGCATCCTGCTGTGCGTCTCTACTTCCAGATCCTCTTGCTTTCAAGACTTTGCATGCACCTCTGTTCTCCCAATGTCCTGCTCTTCTCTCTAGCTGTCCTCTCCCATCTTCCGCACTCTCATGTGTCAACACTGAGCTTTAGATCTCAGGCCCTGGTTGGAAATTCGCCCCCCTCTCATCCCAAAATACCGATTCAACAAGATCAGGGCTTGCGCCATGGGTGGCATGGTGCGTTGGCGCAGATGACTCCCGCCCTGTACCTCTCCCAGGGGGCTGACAGAGAACTTTCCATCTCCAAGGCTGCCAACCCAGCAGTCTTTCATCAGAATTCAATTCCCATCAAAGACCTCTTTGAAAGGAGATTAAGGTAGACAATTACCTCTCCCAGCTCTTTCTCGGGTCTCCTGAGCACAGCTGGCAGCAGATGCCTGAGACAAGGCTGAAAGAGCCCCAAGGCATCCCATGAGCGTTCTGTGTCCCAGGGAAGTTTATTAAAGGATTAAACCGACAATGATTATTTAATTGCACAACAAAGCAAACGGATCCCGATCGGCCTCGATGGGACACCGCTTTCCTCCACCACAAACGGAGCTCTGCCCTGGCACGGAGACATGAAAACCACCTCGGGGACCCAGGATCCTTGGTGAAAGCAAGGACCAGAGCTGGGGAGCAGCTACATCTATCCTGTGGCCCCAGGAGGCCAGCGGGCTACCAAAAGGAACGGTTTTGCTGGCCGCTTTCTACACTTCAGTAGCCAACATAGTTTCATGGATTGATCCTAATGGAACAACTCCCATTGACGTCAGTGAACTTTGGGTCAGCTGTTTGAAGTTTGTTGGGTTTTGTTTTAAATGCCTTTGGGATGAAATGGAGATGTTTGCAAGAAAAAATTGAGCAACAAAACAGCGGGATTTAAAACAAAATAAAAAAATCATCCAAAAAACGTCAGTGAAAACATCTGGTCGATTGGTTGGTTGGCTGACTTTAGCTTTTTCATAGAACGTAACATCCAAGTATTTGCCAACAGGTCTACTCTGGCGAAAAAGTTTCAGAACAAAAGCAGTAGGGCCCAGTGGAATTGGTTTCCCCCCCCGCCCCCTATAGTCCCTTCTCTCTTATTTTCTCCCTCTCATCCAACCCCCCACCCCATATTTCCTGGCTCCTCTTTTTGGTACAGGCTAACACTATTGCTGCAGAAGGGCCACCCATTAAGACCTCATCAACACTTGAAAGTGAGACCAGGCAAACTATTTTGCTTGGTGCAATTTTGTTCCAAAATAGTCAGGCCGGACAAAGATGTGGCTTTGCCTTTTACCT